AACGACATCGTCGAGGTAGCAGAGGCACATATTTTATTTGAGGCCACGTAGCGTATTATACACACAAGAGTGGAAACTTGGGCTAGTTGGTGCGTTGGAGCGTATTATACATAAGACTTTCAAACGTGGCAGGGCATGACGTTAAATTCGTATAGCCCGTCTGGTCTAATAAATGCCGTTTTTTGGCGATCGGCTTCTGCCATTGGGACCTGCCAGTAGCCAGACCGCAAATCTAGCGACGAGAAGAATTCCGCTCCGTGAAGGGTGTCAATGGCGTCATCAATGCGCGGCAAAGGATAGACGTCCTTGCGGGTTATCTTATTCAAACGACGATAGTCCACGCAAAATCAGATATATCCGTCTTTCTTACGCACCAGGACGACGGGAGACGCCCAGGGACTGTTAGATGGTCGAATGACGTCTCTACGAAGCATATCTTCGACTTGATCGTTGATGACGCGGCCGCTCTTCAGCGGAGACACGGTATGGTCTTTGACACAGTGGCTGGTGTAGGCCGGTGTCAACATGTTTGACTTGTGACGTGCGGCCCAGTTGAGGTTGCGACACACCGAAAGAACTCCTGAACTCATGCAGAAGATCCAGCAGGTCGGCATATTCGGTGGGAGTGAGAGTGTCGGCGATGGCGCTGTGAAACGTATCATTGGACGACTCTTCGAGTGCCGACAGTGCTTTTGTGTGGTCGCAGTAGTCATCCGGGACATCAACCAAAGACGAAGGGCTGAGATCCTGCACGCGGCCGAGACATTCCCCCGCAAGCAAAGTGACAGGTGTGAAAGGTGGATTGCTTACGAACATGTTGCTTCTTCCGGCGGCAAGGTCAATTGTTGCGAAAGGCAGCGGCATATCTCGACGATATTTGAAGATATCCGAAGGCATAAAAATGACTGTAGCGTCAGCGTAGGCGTTGCATGAAACGGGAACAAGTGCGAAATTTCCAGGCGGAATAACGGTATCTTCATGAACGAGCAACTTCGGCGGCTGATGAAGAGCGTCCAGTAATGGGACATCACAAAAGGGTGAAAACTCAACTTCAGCGCGTGCACAGTCGATGACGGCATTATGGCGGGATAGGAAGTCCCATCCGAGGATGACGTCATGCGAACAGACAGTGAGAACAATAAACTCCACAATGTAAAGAATGCCTTCTATGGACACTCTTGCAGTGCAGGCTGCGAGAGGCGTTACTTGCTGTGCGCTTGCGGTGTGAAGCAACAGTTCCGAAAGCGGCGTCGTGACTTTGCGTAATAAACGGCAGAGATTAGCGGCAATAACAGAAACAGCGGCACCGGTGTCCACAAGGGCGAAAGTACAATAACCTTCAACAATTACTGCGACCACGTTAGCAGGAGAGGAGCGAGGGCTTAGACAGTTCGAAAACGGCGCAGTTCTTGCCTCTTGAACTGCCGTGCTTAGTTTTCCTGGTCGGAGGGTCTGGGCCGGCGACGCATGGGGAGGGCGATCGCCGACGAGAAGAGGGTGCGCGTTACGGCTGGAAGTCAAGGTGCTCTGCATAGCGAGGTGACGAGACCAGCCCGTATTGGGCGAAGGGTTGGCTGCCGGGTTGCGACGACCGGGCATAGTTGCCAAACGTCTGAGGTCGACGGCGGCAGTAGCGGGCAACGTGTCCGGGAGTGAAACAGGCATAGCAAATCGGTCGGTTATCCGGCGTCCTCCAAGGATTGGCGACTGGTGCTGCCACCCAAGGTGCAGTATAAGCAGCCGGGTGTGCGGGCTGTGAGCGCGTGGTGTAGGGTGGTTGCGGAGGCCTACGTACAGCGTCTGCATATGTGAGGGGCGCGGCTATGGGCTGCATCTCTTGCGAAAAGGCGACAGAAGGAGCCACAGGCTGCGCTGCATAGGTTAGGGGCGCGGCCACAGGATGAACGGCTGGCGGATAGGCGACAGGAGCGCCTACCGGCTGTGTGACACCCGGGCAGTGAACACGGCTAGACAGAGGTGGCTCGTAGTGTGCAAGGGGAACAGCTTGTGCAACCTCTTCCGATATGGCAGTGTGAAGCGGGACAGGTAGACGGGTGGTGGTCTCGTTAGTGAGGGTCAAACCTCATAAGCGTGAAAATGCACGCGACAGCGACGAGCGATGCGACGTAGATCGTCTTCGCGCGATCAGTTGCTAGCGCAGGCAAACCTCCTTCACGCGACGGCTTCGGCGAGCGAACTCCACTGTTGCTGGCATGAGGCCGTCTACTCGCACAAAAAAAAAAAAAAAAACACGTAGTGAGCGGTATGCAATTTAAAAATAAGATATATTGTAGTGTAATGGAACGGAAAGTGTTCTGAATGCCTTGCACCACTTTTTTTATATGCATATGCGTAAACATTGCGTTATTTCTTGTTGCACATACGTGACTCGGGCAGGGTCGTGTGCACCTATGTAGTCTTTGTCTTTTCCGGTCTTTCGCTATTGGCTGCTTGAGCACAGCCCTTCCGGGCGATGAGCGACGGTTTCCAAATCTGGAGAACCGAGCGATCGCGCGAAAACGAGCACGCGACACGCCGCGCGAACGCCCTGTTTCGTCGCTCATAGCATCGCTCGTCACTGTTGCGTGCATTTTCGCGCTTATGAGGTTTGCTCTTAATGGTGCATTCAGACGACGGATCGAATCCCGATGTGGCGGGACGGACGGCGCGTCACGTGACCTCACATCAGCGATTCCCCTCGTCCGCGACTCGTCCGCGCGGCTCGCGGACGGATGAACCCAACCTGTTTCTCACATCGGGATTCTGGCGGGGGAGAGCCGGTACTTCAGCGGAATAGCTTGGGGTCGGTGGCAACCAGTACACTTTTCGTCTGCTCGCGGCATGTCCTCCGTGGCTCGCGGACAGCTGCATGACTGGTCGGCATCATCTACGCTTGAGCATTGTTTACTTAGTTTCCGGAGACTTTGTTCTCAGGTGATTAAATATGCAGAAATCACTTTTGGTGGTTCGGGAAATGTCGCCGCCGTCGCTCAACACGCGACATTAATCTTAGCCATCATGGTGGTGAAATATTCTAACTTTTGCAACCGGCGACGTGCCGCTTCTAAAAAAAGGCGGGAGACACGTTTAGAAGTTCTACAAGCGGGGAATAAAGTAGTTGAAAGAATATCCTGCTAGCAACTCCCTTTTCTCCTGAAAGAATAACACTACTCGTTCATTTGTCACAACACGACAGACATCACAGCCAAGCTTCACTTCTTGCGGGCATCCATGTTGAATACTCTCAAACCGGTCTGCTGCCAGCGGGCGCAGGTGAGCGCCGAATCTGCTGTCGAGGGTAATCCGGCTGTTTTCCCCTAGGACACCGTCTGTCGTGTGGATGCGCCTGCAGGCGGACCATCCGCGGATTAGCTGTCCGCGTCCACGACAAATCCGGATTCGGTCCGTCGTCTGAATGCACCATAAAGGGCACTAAGGAAAGTTGGCGGGCGACTTCCTCATGGACGAAGGCTCGGACTTGCTGAAGCAATGGTGAATTCTCAGGCATGGAGTCGAAACTGGACAGCGACTCACCACCAGGCTGAGGCTGCCGAGTCAGAGTGCGTTGCTTCTTCAACTCGTCATAGCTCTGACACAAGCTGACGACTTCAGAAACTGTGCTTAAATTCCTAGCCAAGAGCATTTGAAATGCGCCATCGTCGATGCCCTTCAGGATGAGTTTGACCTTGTCCGACTTGGGCATGGTGTCATTCGCGCGTCGACAAAGGTCGACGGCATCCTAAATATAGCTGGTAAAATTTTCTCCAGTCTGCTGAGAGCGGAAGCGCCAGCGCTGTTCTGCCCGCTGCTTGCGGACAGCCGGCCGACCGAACACTTCGGCACATGACGTCTTGAAGACGCTCCATGGGGTGATGTTGTGTTTGTAGTTGTTAAACCACAATTCTGCGACACCAGTGAGATAAAATATGACGTGGCCCAGCTTGTCGGCTTCATCCCACTTGTTATTGGCGCTCACCAGCTTGTAGTGCTCGAGCCAGTCTTCCACGTCGGTCCCATCCGCACCGCTGAAGACCTTCGGCTCCCGTAGCCTAGGATGGCCGGAACAGTTGAACTGGGGCGAAGACGCCAATGGGTTGGCGTTGTCAGTCATGACGGGTGGTAGCGTGCGTTTTCGCAGCTCCAGGATGTAGCGACGGGGATAAACAGCACCCTCCACCAAATGTGAAGAGGTTTATCAGTCGTTAACGACAACATCGAGACAGCGGGATGAACCGTCCAGCAGAGACCAGCACAGCAGCGAACCGAAGCACGAGCCGAGAGAGCCGGGCGTTGGCGATGCTGCTTGCTGAGGGCACATCTTCTTCTTCTCAATAATAATAATAATAATAATAATAATAATAATAATAATAATAATAATAATAATAATAATAATAATAATAATAATAATATAATAATAATAATAATAATCTTTATTTCCCATTTCACAAAAAGTAGTACACATATCAGACCTGCCAAAGTCACATAGGGATTGAGCGGCATTGCCTGGCCGCAGTGGAGAAAAGCAATTTATGTAACTTCAATTATTTATTTTTCTTTCATTAGGCACGTTCTTTTGAGCGGAAGACTTTCGGGGAACCGCCCTGTCTTCTCTCCCACCTTTTTTTTGATAACGGAAGAGAGAGGACTTGATTTAAGCGACTCAAAGTGTCGGCATCTGCCTCCTAAAGGAAAAGAAAGAAAAAAATGCCGACAGAAGGCAACATGGCGTCACGTCGAAGAGACGTTGTAATGAGTGAAATACACCTGCAGCGGCAGCGGAAGCCGCCTGCTTCACGCCGGTCACAAAGGCGTCGTGCGCGGCTCGAAATAGGAGGCGAATGAGACCTTGTTCGCGGGTCTTTACTTCACCTAATGCACGCACGAGCAACCGCGTGGCATAGAAGAGCAAGAAAGAAGTCATTGTTGTCGCGCTTGTTTGTCTTGTTTTGTTCCATCGCTTTTTCTCACGTCGCGTAACTGTGGAGCTTGCCGAAGGTTCGTCGGGAGGTTATGGACAAGTGCGGGAAGCGCATTCCTGAGCACAGACCGCCGAGACTCTGCGGAAGCCGAATGCTATTGTGAGACCGCCGGGATTTCGGGCCGCGACTTCGTCCATGCAAAAGCCTCGTAGCTTCCTGGGAAGACAATACGGTAGCTGAAGTCCCGATTCAGCAGGGGACCAAGACGAGCCGGGACATCACATCGTCAAGGACGGTTGTCTTCGCTTTTTGGTGGAGTCACATCACTCCGTAAGCCTTTTTCAAAATTCGGCTGTAGGTTTTCCTGGCATTTAAGCGTAAGAGTTAGACCAGGAGTGTCGAATAAGAGGCCCGTGGACCTCTATATTGCAGTCCGGCCCGCACATGTCTGTCCTTACCCATATATTTTTATTTCATAATAAGTATGTTATTACGGCGTGTCTGGTCTCAAGATTCTTTTTTATTGCAATTCATCTGATGCAATCCTCAGTTATGTGTTAAAACACAGCCGTTGAACGAAAATTCTGCATTAGTGTCAAGTCTCAGTCCGATGATCAGTACAGATTTTCTTTGCTGTTTTTTTTTTATATACTGAGGCGAAGTGTGTGTCCTAAACTACCAATAAGAACTTATTTCAACTGGCAACGTTATATGACATTTTGTTAGAGTACCCAAACCAGAACCTTTTTCTTCTTTGTTCTTTACCGGACGAAACGAGTTTCGTGACCGTAGCCTGGTAGCTGAGGTTAGTTGAGTCTGGGGCCCCTGATGATCGATATCAGGAGCTGGCAAGTTTCGGTCCATATGAAAGCTTCCGTTTATGGTTTATTCATGGATTTCTGGTTACAGGATGTACTTATGCTTGTCAGGCAGCGGGACACTGCAGAAAGATATTAATGACATTCTTCTCTACGACCATTGTGTGATCCATTGCACATATACTTTTACTTGCAGTGAGCTACATTAGCTGGCACGCTTCTGGGCTTGATCTAGAAAAAACTTTCAGGACGTTCTCAGACATATAACTCCCCGTGTGTCGGTTGCATTGATAACACATATACTCAAATCGAAAAGTTTAGACACTATGAGACGCATGGAGAAAACTGGATATTCGGCCTACATCAGCAGCCTGTGTTAATTTTGCGTATCAACAACCTGCTCCAGAGTGCGCCAACATCTACAGACTGAGCAGTTTTACCAAACAATGTGACAAACAGCTGGTATAATCAATTTTTTTTACTTACATATTTACATTCTCTAAAATTCTGACGCGGACTGCGCTTGCTCATACCCAAATTAGTTCATCGCGAAGGCAACAGTCTGATCAGCCCCTTCGACGCCGAGCCTTAGGACGTTTTTATGTACGCATACACATTGTTCCAAACAAAAGTTGGTAAAAGATGTAGTAACTGAAGCGTTCACTGCCCTTTTGGCGCGTTTACTATCATTTGCTAAAGGTTTCCACTATAGAAGTTTTAAACATTGCAGTTAATACTCTGCATGTTGGAGTTAATTGATATGTGGGGTTTCACGTCCCGAAACCGCCATATGATTATGAGAGACATCGTAGTGGAGGGCTCCGGAAATTTCGGCAACCTGGGTTTTTTACCGTGCCCCAAATCTGAGCACACGGGCCGACAGCATTTTCGCTTCCGTCGAAAATGCAGCTGCCGCCACCGGGATTCAATCCCGTGACCTGATAGTCCGAACGCCGCAATAAGCGGTAGGCCAGGTACGCGACACAGCCGTTCACGATGTTTCGACAGGCCCCTCGAGAGTCGGAGATCAAGACCTGGGGTGACAAGCGGCCAATGCGATGGCTACTTTCTCCACATATCTCCTGTGCTCGACACGTGAGCCCGTTAACTGTTTGGTTCTCGTGTACGACAGCGGCCGTATAGCAGCCCTCAGGGTGTGGGCCGAAGGAGTCCACGTAGAACACACCGGGTTTTGATCCACAATAGCAGGCCAAGGGCCGGCCATTGTGGTCTTCTTTAATCATATTGTTTGGAAGAGGGCGCATCTCCACTCGAATGGTAGTTCGATCTTCCGTGATGCTACGCGAGCCGATCGACGAAAGGTCCACGTTTCTACCAGGGCGCCACAGCTGCAGGTTTGCACATTAATTCTGGCGCTGCAGTTAGGACATTCTACGCCAAGAAAGACTCAGCCACCAAGGCCACATTAAGCCCCTATAGCGTCCTTTTTTTTTTTTCGTCAGAGTTTCTTTTAATAATGAGGCACGATTGAGTTCCATTGTTGTTGGACGGGCAAGGCGCACGTAAAAGGGTAATAAAACGGATTTTTTTAAGGTAAACTTAAATATCACTTTCGATAGGGGGCAGTAACCATCGCTCGCGTGAATGAGTGATCTACACGACGCATAAAGCGTCATCGAAACCATCACGTTTGTATGTGCACGAATGAGTGGGCTACCTTTATATTTTCCCGCGCACAATGGGCCTAACTGCGCTAAGGTGTGAAAATGAAATCGTACAAACTGGCCTTCAAGATAGGATCCAAGGTAAGGAGGGACACAGTACAGTAGCAAAAACATTCTTTGAACTACCTCAAAAGAAAAAGCCAACTTGCGAAGGACAAACAAGTATTGGTAATAAGCAACCTCCTAAATAAGACAATTGATTGCTCGAAATTGACTTTAGCAAGTGCATCGACAAACCTGGTTGCACACAAACGTCACGACCACCTGAACTGTCTCAAAACCTTGAAGGACAGTTGAAGAAAACTTGTCACAAACAATATTTGCTTCGCACAGGCGTTGGTTTACGTTTACTTCTAACGTTCAAGCGATGCATAAAAAACTTGCCGTATTTGTCGTTCTGCGGAGGGTGCTATAAAAGAAATGTTTGCCGCAGTAACTATAGCATTGTGCGACTCGCTCATATCTTTTATTGGTACCGTACGTCTTTGAAAGGTTCAATGTGAGAGGTTCGATACCCTTTACGTATACGCTTGCAACGATTGCAGTTAGCTATACAACTCAATATTTTACACCGATGATAAAGTTCACTTTCCTGTACACTACAGGTGTCGAGGGTTCGACACCGTACATGCTGAGACGGTGGAGGTCTCAAGCCTCGACGCCACGCCTGTTATGGGACAATGGGAAGTTTTCGAGTAGGGGCCCCAAAAAGTTTCGGTCCCCCGAAAATTGCGTCAAGGGCACTGCGCAATACTCAAGCTGCGTTCGGGTTGGGGACGCTATTTCTCGAATTTAGCGGGAGCCCCAAAGCCTTCCCCAAAAGTTTTGGGTCAGACAAACATGACGGCACCCACAGAAGGGACGGCTCTCAGCCAAGACATAGAATATGGGGAGTGTGCAAAGCGCCGCAGACTCTACTCAAAAACTCCTCGCTCCTGCTTGACCCAAAGCGACCATACGCAAAGGACACTATTCGAAAACTCCCTATTATGTACTACTACGCTATAGCACAGAAGAGTGGGTGGTTAGAGATGGGGGGAGGGGGTCAAGCCTTGTCAAGCCATCTTCCTCTCGATATTCTTCAATCTTGCGGGTGTCCTTTACGCTGTTTACAAACAGAGGTGCTTCCGGTTTTGTGCACCAGCGTAGCCCAGGAGCATTGGCGGGAAACGAATGTTTTAGCGAGTAACCCGCTCGTTTTCAACACTTTTTGCCTGGCCAAATATATCAAAATTTTTTTATTGTAAGCTACACACAAGATTACACGAGTTAATCGTTAACTTCAAGCGCCTTTCTTTTACCAGGAAGCGGGAAAAGAGTTTATCCTAACTGTGGCACAAATAAAAAGTTTTCTGCTTCAGCGTTAGAATGATAATTGAAGTAACCAGAAGTTTCTTGGGAAGCAACACATGCTGCTGCTATTGCTGTGTTGAAACCGACCGAAAAGAGGAATACTGGGTGTTCTTTTAGACAATACAGACTTTTAATGAAAATGCTTTGACTGTCACGCCTCTGTCGTCATCGCAAATGAACTGAAGTGAGCCGAGGCGAGAAGTTGAGTGAAGTTACTTTAACATCAGTGATTAATAAAACCTCATTGACCTTTTTTAATTATTAGATTGAGGGCAGCTTGTATTCAAAAGTTGTAGGAAGTCTGAATATATGAGATACCCCTTTTAAAAAAATGTCGGAAAACACATGTAGTTTGAGATACGAATCATCAACGTTGAGTACTCCAATTCAGGTGATAGCAAAACTGCGGGCGCGCTAGAAATGCGCCACCTGTGCAGACGGGAGAGCTGACGTGACGAGCTTTGAACACAGGCGAAGCATAACTTGGCCAGAAAAAACGGCAAGCTATTCCAAACAGGGTTGCCAGATGCTCGAAGAGAAAAAAAGCCACAAACTTAACCAAAGTAGCCAGAACAGTATCCAACCAGAAGCCGTGATTTCATTGCGATAGCATTTGTATGGACACTGTCAGTTGGATTTTGCCGCCGGCTTCGGTATCGGCGTTGCCGTCCCTCACTTATTATTATTATTATTATTATTATTATTATTATTATTATTATTATTATTATTATTATTATTATTATTATTATTATTATTATTATTATTATTTCATTCTTGATTTGAATACACGGAAACACGTACAGGGACACAATGTAAAGAGGGAAAAAGCAAGCTGGCAACTGCCACCTGCGTGGAGGGGCACTAGGCCTGCTCACTCTTTCGGGAGTAGGCAAGAAACAGATGAAACGAAGATAAGAGGGGAGAAATAGGAAAGAAGAGACAATAGTAAAAAAAAAATGACGAAGACGTAGACAATCATAAGCAAAAAAAATCAAATGGAAAAATCCGACTATAAACGGGTGGTCAGGTCTGCGAAATGAACATCAGATCGTATGTACAATGACACTTTCGAAGCATTTGATGGATGCGTGGTGTCTGTACACTGGAACTATCCACACGCCATGACCGTGCATTGCTGTGAACGCTTACGCAACCCGTTAGTCTGAGCTCATCATTTCTTACACTGGTTCTCTGGCGAGCTACAACATCCGGGGAATTATTCATTGCAAGGAGAACGAGGTCAGCATGGCGCGGTCGTATACCCTGACGTTTCATTGCAGCACATGGGGACGGGGCTTGCGACAGGTGTTCATGTTGCCTTTAGTGAAGACTGTCGAGTAATGGAACGAGAGCCTCCAAAAGCTGTTGTGTGGCTAACGCTGCGGCATTTGACGACCGGCTATTGGGGATCTGACGATGTTAACAAGTATCTTAAACATGGTGACCAGTTAAGCATCATCGCTGGATGGAGCCA